ACTGTATGTCATATAATATTCAATGAATATTATAAAATATTCATAACAATTTCTGAAAGTTTTTAAGACCTGCTTCTAAGTTTTTTGAGGACATGTGTATGTGCACCTCTCATTCATGGGGTGCCTCAGGACTTTATTCCTGTTTTTTTAAAACATTTATATGCTGTTTTCTCAACTGCAAAATGGCCTCCAGATACCTGTTCAAAGGTTTCAAGGGACTCAGGTAGCTGGAGACTGTTTGGGGCTGAGAAGTAGAACATGCTGGAAACAATCAAAATAATTCAAATGTACTATCAGAGAGGAAAATCATCGAAACTAAGGTATGTAACCATTATTGCCCTGAAGGCCTGAGGTTATAAACTTATGTCCTGTACACAAAGCTTTAGAAGTACAGGTGACATTGCTAGAATGTAACCTTTTGTCTTCGATCAGTAAGCCAACTGCAACTATATCTAGATGAGTTAAATCCATCTTCATTACTTATGCACTGGTGACATGCAAACTAGGCCACTGTAATGTGGTTTACATGGGGCTGCTTTTGAAGAGAATTAGGGAAGTTCAACTGGGGAAAATGCAGCTGTTCAACTGTTGAAGGGGAGAAGGAATATAGAATAAGGGTATGTTTCCAAGACTAACTGAAATAGCTGGTGATTATTTATAGAAAGCCCCAAATGATTTGGAATCATATTATTTGAAAATGACTTTCATCTACATATAAATACCTTGAATGTTTAAACAATCTTCCATCTACATATTTGATCTTGAAGCTATGTGTGAAGACCCATTATGAAGATCAAGGCCACCTCAATGGTAGTTCTGACTGTGGAATCCCTTTCTTACTGATTTGCAAAGGGATTTTCATTTTACAGGTTTTCCAAGAGGGCCAAAGAACTATTTCTTCTGGACAGCACTTTTTAAATGATTTTGGTAGTGCTGCTTTGAAATTGATTTAAGGTATTAATATAGACATTGTTCAAGTGGAATTACAGCCAATATAAGGCATTATGCTGCTGTTTGGGATTTTTTAACTTTGGGATTTTTTAACATTAGTTTTATAGTTGAGAAGACCTCTGTTTAAAAAAAAACCTATAAAACCTGTATTTTTTTAAAAAAGTCTTTAGTAGCTTCTTTTATTTCTGAACAGCCCACATTCCCACAACTTATCACTGATTAAATTTCTCAGACATTTTAATTATTGGCTTCTTGATCTGTATTTTGTTCCAGCCCATCTTATTTCCTCTTCCATGAGGGTAAGTGGCATGCCTTACTTGCAGAGAGTTTTAAGCAGATTGCTATAGCTTTTTTATTCTGGTTATTCACTGTTATCTCAAGGAGGAGAATCTCAGCACTCACAGGATTGGCTACTATCTAGCTACTATTCAGGAAAAATACCGTATTTTTCCGACTATAAGATGATACTTTTTTCTAAAATCCTTACCCTAAAAATAGAAGGGCGTCTTATTCAAGGGAGTCAGCCGAGAATCGCGCAGTTGC